TGGCATCATCTGTGAGTTTTGTCATTCGCTGCACAAGCTACGAATTCGTCAAAAGAGACAAGTGAAGTCAATCCCTCGACAAACATTATGCCGAAAACGGTTACACTATCACTCCTCTTTCTGTCCTGGCCTATCTATCTACTCTTTACCCTCTTATCCCATGCCGCCACATAACAACTTCTCACTTGTTTACATTCCACTCGTCAAAATGTGTGCCCTTTTGTGGCAAATCTAGTGTGGTTCCATTACACTTGCTATTTACCTCGACCCCTCTATTTCTATCGACTCTAATTTTTATTTTTTTTATTTTATTCAATACTTGTTTATTTATTTTATTTTGATTTGATTTGAAAATATGCACTTATCCCAGGATTAATTGGTATTGATTAAGCCGTTTATAGTGTAATCTCGCCTCGAATTTATTTTGAATCCTTTTTTTTTGTGCAGGCTTATCTTCATCTTGGACAAGCTGAGCGAGCACTGGCTGATTGCAACACGTCTCTTGAGCTGCTTCATCAAGTACAGCAACAGGAAAATAAACTTTTAGAATCGAAAGAAGAGGAAAAACCTGAAAAGGCGACCGGCGATGACAACTTGGAGGATGATTGTAATATGCTTACGTATGTTACCCAATCAAGTCGAATGCCCCGACCTCGGATTAGGCCTCTTCCGCACCCTGCTCTGGCCAAAGCTTACTTGCATCAAGGTAAGGCCTTGGCTGCTCTCGATAAGCCTGCCGATGCGTTGGATGCTTACGCCAAATCATGGCACTTTTATGCTCCTGAAGCCTCACCAGACTTTTCGGCCATTGTTCATTCTTCATCCGATAAGGGCAAAAGCAGTCTTACAGATGCCCAGAACAACGTTTCAACTATCATAAAAAATAGTACTGTTTGGCCAAGCTTCTTAGCGGAGTATGTGGCTCAAGCTAAGGCCGCATTGGAGGCTCGCCGGCTTGAGCTACAAGTGGAAGAACAATTTGCTGCCTGTGCTATTCAGACGGGACAGCAATTGCGAAAGGCCGATTCTGCTAGGACTGCTGAAGACCACCAGGATTCGGGGTCTGTCCAATTAGGAATTCCTATTAGCATTTCTATAAGTCCTTATCTAGCCATTTTTGCCAATCTCACTCCCCTATAAAGCTAACATTCTTCAATACGCCTTTAGGCTTTCCTTAAATTGAAATCTTGAGAAATCCCTTAAGCAGGAGTTATTATTCAACTCATTTTCTCCTTTATCAGATGTCGTAATATTAAAAAAATATTTTTACATAAAATTTAATAGCTATGTTCTTTTACTGTCAACCTCTTTGAAGAGCCATGCTAACCATTCTATTTTACTACGATACTACCCCTTATTTTCCCCTTATCTGTACCGATCTCATATCATATGGTTATATAGGGTAATTGCAAAGCCTGGTATGAATTAAATTAGGGCATGATCACAGACTAATAATCGTAGTAGCCAAGTGAAGTGTTTAGATGTTAAGATGACTCGAATAAATAAAGTCAATATAGGTAAGCTTAAAAGCTTATCTCGCTGTTATTTATCTCTGCTTCAATGTATGTATCATTTAGGTCCGTATTTTTTTCATCTTTTTATTGTTTGCTTCTTATAGTCAAATGGTCATTCAGCTGATCGCTCAATTGTCTCGTTGCGGCCAGCCGGCCGCCTACTATACAGCAGGTATGCGTCATCTCACTCAACTGATTGTAAAATCTCCCTCCACTGCACCTAACTTCGCTCCTAATACAACCAACTTGAACGAAAAACCGTCAACCATCGAATCCTCATTTAATTCGCCTGTACCTCATAAGTCCGTGATTAATAAGGACATTTCAACGACATCTACAGTCATCCATGCTTGTGCAGTTCCTGCTCCATCATCCAAGTTGGAAGGCATCAACCCAGTCCTCAACGAGGCCATCGTCGAGGGATCTAAGTCAGTCGGCTCTACCAGGCTTAGTAAGCATGCTCGACGGCGCCAGAAAGCCGCACTGGCACGGGCTGCTTGTGCTGACCGCCCTAGTACCGGCACCATCAGCTCAAATGGTTTTGGGCCTGTCTTGGCCGACACCACTAGCAATATCGCAAGTACAAAGAACTCTACTGGCCTAATTTTAGCACCCCCAGGCCCTGGTTCAAACGTTCATGATCTCAATAGTTCTTCGATTTGTGATGTAAATACGCCTCTTCTTGTTAAGGCTATCTATTCCAGTGACACCGGGTCATCGAAGGGATCCTCAACGATGGAAGCAAGAGAATCTCTTTCACCAAAGACTCAGTTGCAGACATTGTTTCGTATGCGATCAGGCTTCAGGGTACTAGCTAAACAGTCCGAGGTAACAACTTGTTTTTACATGGCTATTTTAATGGGAAGGAGTTCGTAATTTAATATCACTGGGAACCGAATGATTGCCTCGTAGGAAAGACTGATGTATTGTACGAAGAATTCCTCGGTTCACCGTCCTGCGACCCTGACAGTGAGCCGAGGACTCCTTCACACAATACGTGGTTTCCACTTCACAAATTTCTTCCAACCAACTTTTTCTTCTAAATGGGAAATCATTTCGCAATATATCACAAAGGAATTTTTCGAAACCCAGTTTTTCTTTATATTTTAGTGGGGCCTTACTACTTTATCCACCAATCTGATTGTGACAAGCTAAAGCCTCTTGTCGGTAGTCATATCTAGTAATTGTGGATTTACTTAGGCTTCATCTATTGTAGGCAACATAAGCAACTTTGATTTATTGACTACTTGCTTCTTCTCGATTGCTATCAGCCTTTCTTATCCCGAAAGCGAACCATCTCCTATATTGTTGTTGACGAGAATAGTGGATTTCATCCTATCATTTTGATATTGATTTCACCTGTAATTCTGTTGCTAAAACTAACTTTTGGAATATCCTGCCTATTCTATTTTCAGGTTGTCTTTAATTGTATAATGCTTGGTTTATTATGGCCATTTTGTATACTTCTGAGATTTTGATTCAAATTGCTATTTACCTAATAACTACAAGCACATATAATACCGCCAGTACATACAGCTGGGTCATTGCCTCATATTTATGATTTTATATAAATATCGAGAATGTAGACGATATTAAAGCTATAACACTTTTGGCACAACACTAATTCTTAGCATTTTTTGTGTAGCAAAACCCTTTTATTAGGGCTTGTTTACTCTTCTGAAGCAAGAATCTTTGCATGTATCGAATTTTCTTCTAGATCCTATTATCAAATTCAATAGGCCTCCTAACAATTTTGATTTGTTTTTCCTCTGTTAACTACTCACTTTTAAAATCTTAAAGGGACCTTGGGAGATTACAATAACACGCTACGGCAGAATTTTCCCCAAAGAGGTTTTTTAATTGACTAATTGACTAATTTTTTTTACATTACTATTCATATAATTGTCCCAATTTAATCGCTATCTTCTGACTTTTAAGGAAATCTACGATGCTTTAGTCTCTAATCTGAGTTGGTCGACCTCTGCCTCAGGTTCAGGCAACTCAAATTTCAGCCCCGTCGACCTAGCAATAGATCGCTTACTCGCCTTGCTGCAATTGGCATCCCAACTTGTGAAAAACTGTCCCGCCAACCAGATTAGCCTGATGGTCCATTCGCCTATTCTGGTTGATATTGCGCTTGGTTTTAGCCTCCATCTCTTTGGAAATTCTGCGGACCTAAGTTCGGACCCTATGTCTCTTGATATTGACAATACAGCTAGTCCAACTAAAGACCGATTCAGTCTGTTGACGCAGGTGGCTGGAATATTGTCGGACCTAAATAATAGGTGAGCAGAATTATTGTTTTTTTACTCCTTCTAACTATATGTGGTTTAACATTCTTGGCCACTCGACCGATTTCTACATTAGCTTTAATTACAAAACTCGCTATCTTGCGCGTAATAAAATTTTCAGTATTCTACTGCTCATTGAGTTTCTCCTCTCTACAAAACCACAATATTGAGCATCAAAACATTTTATTTTTAACTTGAGTAGGTTCCGCTGATACCAGTAGTCCTTCATAACATTGTGCGGCCTATAGTGCGGACTTCTTTGTCTTTAAATCAGTATTTTTCTGAATACTAAAACAGGATAATTGTATGCATATTTTCCTTTATTCGTTCTCCAATTTATGCCAGAATACTTTTGCGGACTACACAAGGGTCGTGCGGAAATGATGACACGAATTTCGTTTTCTTGGCGAGCAAAGCTTTAAGACTACACTCATCCGGAAACACTGTGCAAAGAGCTTTCGTTAGGTTTACTAAGATCAATGTATTTATCTCAATTCTTATAAACATATCTACTAAATTTAATATGATAGGAAAACACATCATATTGGCATATAGTGGATGATTAGCGAGAACTACTTCTTTATCTACAACAGCCATTTGATTTTAGACTGGACAGATTAAAGGATTGAGGTATTCGTCAAGCCATCATCTAATCGGAGGTACTTATCAGTTATAGCAATTTCCAAGGTTTTTCTTAATCTGAAAAACATCGCATGAATGTGTTAAAATTAGGTTTTTGTATAGACTCAATATTATCAAATGTATGGAATGTATTTATCCTATTTTCTTTAGTGTGATGGGGAAACTGATAGTTGAATTTCCTCAACCATATAAATATCCATTAGGCTTCTATTGAATTTGACTTAGCCTTGCTTTTCCAAAAAGTATTATCATCCAGAGTGGACTGCATTTTCGATATCGCCGAGGCCTTATCAAGATTTCCAGTGAGACTTGATCCATGACACTATACTCTATAATTTCGATGCGTTAATCACTACGCTGCATTGCCACGATTTCTCTTGGGTCACAGGGCAAATGTGAATTTCAAGGAAGACCAGACATTTTTCCATTCTATAAAGCAAAGTTGAATTTGCTGTAGCAATCGATACATGTTTGTGCATCTTTGCTCTATCTTTGGTTCACATGGCTGCTTTGTCTTTATAAATGCTAACGAATAAGTTAGCCTAATTCATCGATTTTTATGCGACCATTGCTATTAAAAATTAATTTTTGTTCTCTAAGTATTGATAATATCCTAAGGACGAATAACTATTCTTAATTTAATGTGAATTTTTTTACATAAACTCTTAACAGGCGCCTACGTTTCTTGTGCTTTATGTGAGTTTGTATGAAGAGGCGACCTATTTTGGGCCTCTGTTTGCCATAGCCAATTGCATCTAGGCTCAAGCTACCTATAGTAGCTCAACATTTCAATTATAAAATCGACAAAATTTATTGAAATCTCAGGTAGCTCTATGTTTTCAACATCATTCTTGTTGAAGCTAGATGAAAAACTATATCAAGACTTGAATGTTTTTTTTCGTGCGACGATTCGTGTCGATCTAAGTGCCTTATTCGTTTTGATACGGGGAAAGCCTGTCGCCACTTTTTTTTAAAAATTTGTCCTATTGTGTCTATTCTATGTCAAGTATGCTGGCTCAGAAATTTTCGCTCATTAATTCTTTTATGGTGTTGACGAGTGCTTACTTTGATACGTTTCTCAAAACTAAGTTTTTTAATAGTTTTAATAGGCACCAATTAGTCATTTATGTTTAGCCCTTCTTTATCTGCTAATTTATCTTAATGAAGTTTGCTTTCTTTTAATCATTTAGTTTATTCATTATCAATTTTTGTCTATACATGTTGCCCGAACAGATATATCGAAGTACACCCTTATGTTTCATTTTTTCATGATTTATTGAAAAATAATCAGTGTCCCTTAACTAAATATGACTTTGCTATGATTTTTAGCCAACTCAGCTTGAATTCCGCTCACCTTCGCCGACATCTTTTACATGATGTACGGGCCGCCGGCGCCGCTTTTTTGGCAACGATGACTGATGATGTTGTTGGCCGATCCGAGCTTTTGGGACGATCAACTACTGCATCTTCAGTTCGAGATTCCAATTCTTGCACCGATGAAACTTCTCACTGCCCAGGGGCTTCACGTCTACTTTCTAGCCTAGCTGTCTGTTTGTCGGCAGCCTCAGCAAACAAGAATGCTAACGGCCCGCTCGCCACTTCTTCCTTATTATCCCCTCCTACAGATAGCTTTTCCCGCCTTCGTGGTATAGCTCTTCGACGGCCAGATCAAAAGTGCACCTCGGCTATCACTCCTGTCCTTACAACTACAGGTAGCGTGGCGACACCAGCTATGTCGCCATCTATGTTAGCCACAATGAATAGTGCAACCAGGGT